CATAGAGCCAATTCACAAACTTGTTGAAAAGCGAATTTATTCTTCGAAAATTTCAACGAGATTTCGTCTTCTTCAGAAACGATAAAGTCGAGCCCATGCTTTACAGCTTTTCGCCTTTGTTGCAGCCTTCGTTGCCGCTCAAGTTGTCCTTTGAAATTCAGTCAGTGACCATTAAAATTCATAGGGAATGATAAACAGACAAGTTCATTGAAAACTAAAGGAAAATACCGCGTAATCACGCCAACATTGGAACGTTCAATGTAACAAAATCTAAGTAGACGGAAAATGACGACCACTGGCGAAAATAGCAGTAGAAAGATCCAAAAAATTCCGGATACTCAGCATCAAAACAGATAGTGAAGTAGTATGAATAGTAAAATTAGTGACACATACTCAGGATACTTGAATATTTGGCAAACCCATGTTCACGAGTTTTGCATACAGGAGCCCATTTTTCATTCGCTTCTCATCCACGCAAACGTTGTCCATGGTGATGGTCTGTCTCAAACATGATGTTGTCCCGAGGATCATTCCGGGTTACTGAGACCGTTTTCCTCTGCGAACGCGGATGTTTGACGTAAGTTAATATTACTATCGTGCATAGTATGAATAGTCGTCCAAAATGTAAGTGGCTCGTCTCTGTTTCACTACCGTCTTGAATACTTCTCGATCGAAATATGGCGCAATTTTCGAAGACGTGAGTAGCGCCAATCGGTTTAAAAGCTGTGAGTAACCAATTGAGGTGAATTTATGGCACATCCCTTAGGGTTTGATCAGCACCAAAAGCTTTACCTTACCTCAGGATTCGTTGGCCTGACGTTTAGGACAACAACCTTCCCGTCCACAATTTTCGGCGAGTGCCTACCATCGAAAAGAGATAATGTTCCAAAATTATTCTAGGATTTTGAGGAACGAATTGCTTAACGTTTACTCTTGAATGGGTAAAGAAGACAAGTTGTAATTTGAGCCAAGCTTTGAACTTTCATGAATGATTTTAGCGAGAAGACTAAAAAGAATTAAAGAAATGCGCGAGATCAAGCTATCTAAGCAAATATCGACGTAACAGACCGATGTACAATTGCGTATTCAGCTGACATACTTCTGGAGTTCCCACAGTTGATGAAGACTAAATATGAAGCTGAAAAACATTATGAAATACTACAAATCCCGATTTGACCAAGGGCTGCATTGTTTTTGGATACTTGAACTGTGAGCGAAATGTAAAACTGTGCTTCCAAAGGACTGACACTAGAGTAGTCACTCTCCTTATAGATTCACTGGAGCCGTTAGCACTAGGTAAAATAGGTATGACAGATTAAATACTTCATTACATTGAAGTATTTGCAGCCAGAAATCTAAACTTTCGAATGATAACCAACACTCTCACGAAGACTCCTGTCCAGCAAATAAGATCTGTTTTTCATTTGTCGAGTCTTACATGTAAGTACCGATGCTTCAAATCAATTTCTAGTCTAATCTATGCCACAATGATTTGCTTTCCATAATCATCTAAGGTCACGTGTCTGCTTTAGATTTTTGAGGATAGAACATTGACCAGTTCATGTATGATTTCTTCTGGAAATCAGTCCCCGAGCTCTCAGTTTGGAAGTTTCTGCTTTTTCATTTTGACTTTCAATGCTACAAATATGACCTTACATACCCTAGAAGATAAGCAGAGTTAGAGATATCTTGTTGGGGCTTTGCTGTGTTAGAGGCTGCTATATTTTGTGGTAGGCAATCCAGAGTAGTTTTTATGAATTCTCCGATCACTTGATTTCACATCTTTCGACTTATTAGTATAATACAATATACGTTAACATGTTTTGTAACGAGCAAGGCAAAATCAAAGGATTGTCTGATTTTGGCTGAGTGTTACTCCAAGTAACTTGCTTGCCCTTGTACCGACCCAAAGACTCGTGGTTGCGAGATGACCCAACGATTTATCCCCAATAAATACTTTGTGCAGAATAATCAAGAAAACGAAAAACGAATTTGCTCATCGTTTATCAAGACCTTCCGTAGCGGGTGTTGGAGGTGCCATGGCCGAGTGGTTGTGATGCTTGTCGAGGCGATCGTGGGGCCAAGCTCTACCTCTCAATTCTCTCTGACCCTCAGCAACAACGCTTGAGAGAAGTAAGAAATGAAGGGTACCTTCCCGTTATCTGAGCGCCAATTCGACCCTTCAGAAAAAACTCATTTGACGCTTGTTTTTGACGACTAAATAATAATTCGATAGATGAGATCAAAAGAATTTGAACGATATATTCCATCTTCAAAAAAGGCCTTGTTATTGCGCTGAAAGAGCGAAAATAATGATTGGTTCCTCATTCAAGGATTTCTCGTTGACCAAAGCCTTTCCTTTGGAGTTATGGTAACCAATAGATATATCAAATTTTTGAGGATTCCAATAACTTATTGGGTTTCAAAATGGACCACGCATTACGCTGTAACAGCCAAAAGAAGATTGACTTTCACAAGACTGTTTTACTTATATTATACCCTCCTCACTTCGATACTTCGGAAAAAAAACATATTTTTCGGTCGTTCTTGGTTTTCATGTAGCCATTCGATAGTTCAGATCATAAGAAATTTAGTGATTTATTTAATCTCCAGAAAGGCCTTTTAATTGCGCTGAAAGAGCATAAATGAATTTTTGTTTCTCACTCAAGGATTTCTCGCTGACAAAGCTTTTACTTTGGAGTCTTAATAATTAGCCGATAGATTAGATCTCAAGAATTCCAACAAACTATTGGTGGATATCGACCTCGTATCACGCAGTTACAGCCAAAAATAACATTGTGCCTCGTAAATCAAAAAAAGCATCGAGTGCGGAGCACAAATTTTTTGTCTTTATGGAGCATTCAGAAGTCCGTTCAAGAAACCAAAAACATTAATGGCATCCTTGATATCTGATCTACCATTTGACTCTTAATACTGTAAGAGAGATGCCCAGGTCAGCAGAAAATCTTCCAATGAGGAACAAATTATTATTTTTGTTCATTCAGCTCAAGAACAAGTCCTCTTTCGAAGTAAAATACACTATTGAAATATCTTTGATTCAAGCTAGTAAAAAGAGAATAGATAAAGTGATTCATTTTTTGCGAAACCCAATTTCCTTATGACTGTTACAGCGTAATGTCGCGGTCCATTCTGAAAGCCAAAGAATAACTGGAATTTTTGAACTTCAGTCTATATGATTACTAAAACTCTGAAGAAAACGCTTTGGTGGGCGAGAAATCTTTGAATGAGCAACAAAATATTATTCTTGCTCTTTTAGCGCAATAACAAGGCCTTCTGAAACAAAATACACCTCTAAAATTTATCTGATTCAAGCTACCGACTGAATATTTAGACATTGGCAACGATCAAAAAATACGTTTTTTTCCAATGGATCAAAGTAAAGAGAGGATAGTTGAAGTGATCCATTTTTTGCCAAACCCAATCTTCTTTTAGCTGTTGCAGCGTAATACCAGGTCTATTATAAAAACCAAATCGGTCATTGGTCTCAAAATTTGGTCTATCGATTGGCTAGTGAAACTTCTAAGAAAAAATTCTGGTCAGCGAGAAATCAACAAAGCCTTGCTCTTGCTCTTCCAGCGAATAAGAAGGCTCTTTTGAAGATAAGATAAACCATTCAAATTCTTTTTATTTGTGCTATCGGATGACTATTTGAGCATTGAAAAAAGACCAGGAAATAAGTTTTTTACAAAGGGTAGAAATGGCACTCAGATAACGAAAAGGTACCAGATAATGCTATTATAGAGCGACGATAATATAAAGCATGGGAGAAGTAAATTATGGCAAACTATTTCCGTGATAGTATATCATTGATGAGATGAACATTTTATATTATGCACTAAGAGCTACGATCAGTATGATCGGGCGGGGGAGATACAGCGTAGTAATACAATTTAGACACTTTATTATCCACCTCCACAGTGTTTTTTTCACTGCGCAGATCCCAGAACTTCGAGCATTCCATCGTTGTGTCTGTTTGTTGAACGTCATAAAATACTGCTTGAGCGCGTCTCTTTCCAGTCTCGAGGATGGCCTGGTTGTGGCGTTTCATGGGCGTTCGTTGTTGACTGTCGGAGAGTTCAGAGTAGAGTTCGACCTCACGAGCCCCACGACGAGCATCGCAATCACTCGGCCACGGCGCCTCGCAGATATTGATATGATCTAAACATTCATCTTGAGTCCTATTTGACAAGAATCCTGACATATATGCGGAACATGAAACCTAGCGTACGTGTAGTAAGTAGACTCGAACTACCCGCGGTGGTTCGTGTCCATACCGCCTATATCAGATCTCAAGTTTGCCCGTATCTCAGCATTTTTGTGATTATGTTTTCACATAACACCTTGCTATTAAAATTTTAGGTAATAAATAGCAGTTAATTCCGTGAACCTTATACGGTTTGCAAAAGGAGGACTTCCGGAGTTTTTCAAAACTATATCTGATGCGGATCGTAAAATAATTCGAAAGTGCGGTAGCTAGAAAAGGAGGCTACAGGTATTCGTAATGACGACGCAGTTTCTCATCCTAGGCTGGGATGGCAGAGTGCGAATATTTTGCAAGAAACGACACATGGCCATGAAAAATCTTTCCGTCATCGTTGGTATCGTAATGAGGTAGAGAAAAACAGTTCAGCATGCAAGTGTAGTAAACAGCAGTCAGGACATGACCAATGGACACAGACAATGCAAAATCGAATGAAAAGTGTATGAATAAGTAACTCAGTGAATCGAAAATCAATCGTTATCTGCTTATCCATGAGAAAACTATCGCTGACAATGTCCGCAGTAGAAGCGAGTATTGACTGACTTTGCCGAAAGATTGGTAATAATAAGGATAATCAAAATTCTTTTTATTTGACTGCCACATGCAGAAATATGATGTTATAGTATACCCAATAATGTGGAGCGCTGTGCAAAAACATTTGCGTCAGCTGGGATTCCAACCTAGATCTCACTCTTTCCAGGAGCGTACGCCAACCGACGCGTTGGTGGTGCATCGGTTGGCATATGCTCCCGGAAAGAGTGAGATCTGGGTTCGAATCTCGGCGGACGCAAACATTTTTACACAGCATTCCACATTAATAAGTATAATATTTATGAAAGTAATGAACACTTTACTACGTCACTTTATTTGACCCGTACCTCAGTTTTTTTTAATGCAAGTGACTGGTTCTAGTTTATAGCATTCATATAGATTTATTGTCTCCTAGGATTGTTTGTGTCCATCATCATTTTTCACGAACGCCACAGGAAATGGTTGAGCAAGTCTCCTTGCGATCTCGAGCATAGCCACCGCCTAAAGGAACGTTCGTTATCAATTGCCGAATGGTGTTGAATGGTTAAGAGATCAGTCCTGCATGGAGCTGAGCACTGCTACCCACTTGGTCACAAGTTCCGGAAGCAATAATGATAGTGATAAATAAGATATGACAGCAAAAATGACTAAGATCGTAATTAAAATATTAGTAATAGTAACAATAGGGACAACAACCGTGGTAATAGGGACAGTAATGGCAATTATATAGAAATTGTTTTGACTAGGCTACTGATCTCTTCAATCTCATGATTTTAGATTTTCAGCAAAGAATATCGCGTACGTTCGACAAGTACCTTTACATTGGGGATGTGAAGAGATTTCCTGGAATTATTGGCAATAGAACAAATTTCGTTCTTCCGGTGGTCAATCGACATCCGGTGCAGCTGATGCAAAAGAACATGACGATTTCAGGGAAAAAAGCTTCGACTGAACATTTTTGAGTACCTGTTCATGACTTTGTGTAGTGATGATATGACTCATAATCAGTGCCCACATATCAATAAACATCTATATTAATTTATCTATTTAGGCGTTTGATGAAAAAGCGATCAACTGTTCAGAAGCAGGGCAAATGTAACGAATGAATTTACTACAATGCTCTTTTTACTATCTATCAATTTTCAGTTGTCATAAAGCTTAGAACAGTGCTGTTGTGACACATCTTTGAGTGATTATAATGGCTGTATGAAACATGATAGTTAAAAATATATGCTTACTGAATCACACAATTCTTCACAATTGGCTAAATTTCAGCGTCATTGCTCAAACAAATGATTTATGACATAGCGCTAACCTCGCCCATATTAGCAGTTTCGCTCTCGAAGTTGCATTCCTGAAATAGACTAGACATAAAATTCGATAAAGCCTTTTAAAGCACTTGTGACTTCTCTCTCCCTTAGATGGATAGTGTGCGTTCTCGTGTTCAACTATGGGTATCGCGTACGTCGCAGCAACCACCATAAACAACAATGGAGCAAAAGGGAAATGATTAAACTATAAGGGGCATCCACAGATGCTCCGTGTAAGTACACAACTAAGCAAATACTTACGTATTTTCTCTATTAATTGTGTCAGTTTCACAAAGTTCCTAGAGAATGAATCCATTTGGCTGAAGTTCCAATGAGCTTTGCCATCTTTAGAGCTGATTAATTTGAGCCGATGTTTCACCTTCGTTCGTTCTCGTGTGTACGTTGCTGTCGTGTAAGTCATATTTTCTTCGGAAATGTACCTTTCAGACGAGAACCTCACCTGGCAGTGCTCTTCTTACACAGGATAGTTGCTGATAATAGTGATTGCCTATCGATAACGTTTGCATTTGTATAGGACAATACACTCTGCACAAAACCTAAAGCATGCCTACTCGGAATGACGTGTGACTGTGCAGGCACAGGGTATATAGAAGGCCTTTCTCGCTGAACAGAGTTATTTTTGTAGAATTTTAATGATTCATCGAAAGCATCGTTCTCGATAATTTCAATAAATGAGTTTCTAGAAATTCCGTCTTTGCGGTGTAGCAGCAAAAACAAAACCATGTTTCATATTTGGTTTCTTCTTTTTACTCTGCTGGTGTCTGTGAAATGTTTTTTGCTAAACTTTTTAAGATCATTCGATGTCTCAGATCTCGACGGTGCTGCGATCTAAGCCAGTTTGGACGAAAATCTACGGAGAACCTGCGAGGGCGAAAAACCATTACGTTTCACACCCGAAATGAGTAGCCTGTGGATCAGAATCAACACAAGGATTGTTGGCACTTGAGTAGAATTGTAAAGAAAGTTTATATGTTAGAGGCAATTTATCACCGCAGAAAGATAGAATGTCACAGGAGAAACCTTTATACCCTTTATAAATGAGTACTGAGTCGAAAGATCTACCGCGCATGAGAAGACTATCAATGTTTCAGTGAAGGAAACACATCTTTGCGAAAAAGGACGCAATTTAAATTATAAATGAACATTCTCCCTATTTTTCTATCTTTTGTGGTCATTCGATTGCTTTAGAAATACTGATTCAGGTACTAAACTTGTTTTCAGGAACGACTCTATAGTACTCTTTGCTAACAGAAAGAAGATAACGTTTTGCCGTTCGTACAACTAGCCCGTTGCTTGAACATCATGGTGAATGATTGACAGTCATATCAATGGACTTAGGTTTCTAAGCAAACTTCATCTTTACGAAAGGTTATATTTTTGCTAAACAGAGAAGGACACGTACGTTCAACTAACGGAAAGAAGATTACGTTTTGCGTTTGGAGTTCTTTTTCTTCAACTCCACAGCGGAAATAAAGGATAGAGGATAAAGCTCACGGTGTTTGATCAATCTTAAGGGATGCGCCATGCATTCGTCTTCATTTAACTTCCTTTGAGGTGACTGAATGCATATCTGGCCTTTACAATGGACTGGCGGTGGCCTCCCGTTGAACCAAGTCAGCGCTGCTCAACCTCTCAGACAAGTGTGTGACCTGCTACCAATTTACCGAGCCCGCAGGGATGGATGACTTGGTGAGCCATGAGCGCGAGATCGAACCATTAATCTCGTGTGCGACGCAGAGCACCTCTAACCTTTGCGCTCATGTTGTCGGCAGATATATAGTGAAGTATTGATAGTCGAGACACTTCATCGTCGCGTTAACATAGCACATTGCTGAATAGATTTCGATGGGCATTTCTGGTGAGAAGTTCGCGCCTACGTCTCAGCTATCCGTATTATGAATAGGAAAACGGGATGAGTTGAAAAACGAACATAATTCCAACTCTTGGTGCTCATTCTTATAGCCTCTATTGAGAGCAAGACCGTCCTATCATGTTCATCACTCGTCTGGTGGCCAAAGATATGTCTATTCGATAGCCAGCCTTCAAATATCGCGCATGCTCAGTTTGTGCAATTCGACTGTCTTTTGTACTACGTTTCTTCGAACATTTCCTGTCGTCATCAATAAAAAGGCAGTGTTTCTAGGCAATGATAACTTCTACGACTATTTACTGATTATCTCTTCATTAATGTTCTCTTGATCCGTCTTCACAGTTTTTTTTTTCACTGTGCGGATCCCAGTACTTCTAGCATTCACTTCGATTCTTTATCTTCTTCTTTAGCGACGTAGAACAGTTGTTGAGCGCATCTTCTGGTAATCTCGAATATAGGCTGCCCGTAGCGTTCCACAGGGCATACGGTCGGAGATAGCAAAAGGTGAGGTTTGGTCCCAGGCAGATCGCGACAAAGATCACAACCACTCGGCCACAATGCCCTCGTATGATTTATAGATTCAAGTTACTAGTGGTGAAGAGGTAAAGGTTTATGTTTGATACTGGTCAACTTCTCAAGGACACGCAGTAAGTTTGACTTGATCAGGCATCGTTATAAATGATCGCATGCATATCTAGCACCCACTTACGCTTGCATACCAATTAATAGTTGGTATTACTCCTCTTTCAGGCAGGAAACTTGGTGAGCTTGGACCATATGATAGAACCAGCGTTCAATCGAGTGCATTGCAGGGCATCTGCAATCACTGTGCTCACAAGAGCCAATTTGTTGTTAATATACTCTAAATTCGTTGGCGCTGCACACCTAGTAAACATTAACTGCACTCAGATTTGTAGTGAGCATATACTGTAAAGTCACTGGCGCTCAGTACCTAGTAAACATTGCTCGCCGCAGTTATGTAATTATTATACTGGAAAGTCACTAGCACTAATTACATATTGAACATTACGTCGACTAACTTCGTAGTTAGTATATTGTGAAGTCCATTGGCACTTGTACCTAGTAAACATCCCCTGCGCCAGATTTAGGCTCTGCAATAATCCAGTAACTCGAGCCCGAATAAGGAACAACTAAACAGCATATTTAACTATCGCATGTACCAGAGGTGGCTCATTCATCTCCACTATTCTTTGGATCACTAAGTACATTGATATAATTCTAGTTTTCTGACTGAAGTGCCTCGTGGCCATAGAAAAAAGTTCAATAACATTTTTGTTTGTCAACAATGTAGTCCGCTTTGTTCCACTGGATTTTTCAAAGCATAAATTTTCTTATCCTCATTAGGAATTGAATGTAAAGAATACATTATTTTTTAGATCCGACTGACACTGCAGCAAATACATCGTTGGCCGAAGTGCAGCAATAGTTCACATTTATGACAAAGTGCAGTGATATCCATGCCGACTAGGCGATTTGCCCCAGAGACTTAACTAAACGAAAGGTATTCTCTTTACTTCTGAATTGCTGCTTATTAAATTTTAGTCCTTACTGAAAAGGACAACTTATATACCGAGTTGAACTATTGCTATGACTGTGGAAGATGGATATTCACTGGTCTTTATTGTACATGATTTTTCTAAATATCTGAAAAGACTAGTTTAGCCGTTTGCGAAGTTCCGTCATTACAGCAGAACGCACCGTTTCGGCAATCTTTCTCGCTTCGTTAGTGCCATATGCTCAACCAGCCACCCTACATGCTGGAAGAGGGGCGCAAAATGCTAAGATCTGGCAAAGTGAAATTGGTTCTTTCTGATTAAGAGGGGACAAATGAAAAAACCAACCTCATTCGCTGGAGAGGAACTTCTCATGGGAGTGTCAGTAGGTATTCAAAAAGCTGACACGCGAGACTACACCCCCACTTTACCGTCTTCCAAAAACACCTTTTCATAACGCAGTTATCTTCACAAAAACTAGAGCATATTACTCGCCGAACAAACCTCTTTCTTTGGATTGTTAGTAATCATAAGACAGCTTTGT